TCGATCATATAAGGTCAGCAATTAAACTGCCTAAAACTATAGTTGCTAAATGAGAATTTAAGAACAAACTATTATAAATTTCAAAGCCACAGCAAGACATATTATATATTAGCAGGATTCCCTATTATCTACTCCTGATATTAGTGAAATGGCACAGTACTAGTCAGTGCACTCGCTCTGCCCAAATGCATCGTCAGTCTGCACGCATATTGTATGGCCCGGGTATGGGGTATATGGGTATGGGGTATATGGGTAATGGTGCATGAGTTAATGTGTTAGCTGGGTTAGCATGGTGATATGCTTGATGTGATATGCTTGATGTGATATGCTTGATGTGATATGCTTGATGTGATATGCATGGTGATATGCTTGAGGTGCATGAAATTCATGCTTAGTATTAATTATCTGCAGTCGATCCAGTTTCTTATAGGAATTAATGCTAGAACTTCACCACTTATTTATGTTCAAGAAGGCGGCCAAGGTCGGACAGAAAGAGCCACGATTTCACGTTGATATATATATAATCAAGAGCTAATAATACCTATTATAGGTAATTAATAAAGGTATTATTAGCTCTTGATATTATATATATATATATATATATATATATATATATATATATATATATATATATATATATACATTAGATCAGAAGTAGATAATAGCAGGAGCTAATAATGACAAATTGCCAGGATTGTCATTATTAGCTCCTGATATAGGACAAATTGTCATTATTAGTTCCTGATAATAGGGAATAGGGATAATAGGATTCCCTATTATCTACTTCTGATTATATCGTTTTTACGATTTGACATGCCTCTTTACAAAAGATTGTAGAGTGTATGTGTCAATAGTAAACGACCCAGGAACGTCCATCAACATAATTAATACCTCTCCGTGTCTGCCATAAGTAATGGATCGACCCTATATAAGTGGTCTACTTTACTGTAATGTGCACTGCATTTACACGCACAAGGTTAGGTCGAGTACTGGCAACTTACTAAACCTGTTTGCTTGAAAATAACACACATATATCATGTGCAGCTAGGCCAGAGATGGACGTCCATTAGTTAGGAATTTTTCTAGAACTGATTTTTGTACGACAACAAGGAGCGTTTGACTAGACTGGGCACCTGTCCTTGTATTGTGGGTTCGAGAATAACTTAGTGAGTCTAGCCGGAGGCTGTGCACGACGCTCTGGCTAGTTATATACAACTAGACTTCAGTGTTTAGACAGGTACACATTACCGCGTGAACGTATAATTTCACTTATTATTAGCAACAAACATGCAGCTAGAAGATTGATGGATTTCCAAATATGTCGCTGGTATTGACCTTTCTGCCCTCGAATCGATCCATGAGCTCAATTTCACACGGTGGGTGAGTTTATACTTTGTGCCCTATAGCTCCGACTCACATGCAGTGACAGTTTATCTTGAGAAGAAGAGCTAGCTTGTATGTATATATGAACCTGCTTATAGGTAATAGCAGGGGTTAATAATGACAAAAAATCGTCATTATTAACCCCTGGTAATAGGTGTGTGCGTTTTTTTTCGCACATATGCAGCTGCATTATGTGCCGGTTCGTTCAAATGAAAGAGATGTCCAGGCGTGTGGCATTGACAGATTGATGTAGTATTGACAATTGAGATTTAGTATCAACTTGCTAGTGGCACATATATATCTGTTTTACATCTGCATATATGCTATCAAGAGCATATAAACTTTTATGTACACGTGAGTTTGTGTGCATATATCTGCTTATTTGGACTTCAAGTGCGTTTGATCAGATGGTAGCAGAGATAATATATATGATATAATATATGATGTGCTATACATGCGATAGGTGAGCTAATAATATATACACCGAGAGCCCTTGGAATCAGATATATATATGTGGAAGGGTGTACGGTAAACATTCTTCTTATTTGTATTTGCTTGAAAGATTTGCGATTATACTATAGTGATCGCCGTACAAACAAGGGGCCGTGTACGTGAGCCGGCAAAGCAATCACTGCAGTCCGCTCGCCGAAAGCGTGTCCCCCCGCCCCCCTGACACACAGAATGCGGAGCTGTCACGCTGCATGTGGCTTATAATCCTCTGGGCATATGGTCAGCAGGTGTACAACCTAGCTGTAACCTTGGCCCGTATTCGTCACCTTGATCCAGGGCATCGCCAGCAACCGCGGTTGCCATGCAGCTTTTTTTCTTTCAGGCAGTATTCTTCGCTGTTGCTCACCGCGGTGAGAAGTGCATGGTTAACTGAATAGCATATACGTCCACATGGCCTCCACTGCTGGTAACATAATTTAGCGAGCGAACAATACAGCTTTGAATTCCTGGGTGACAGCTATTTCACTTCTGCGTTCGCTAAATATAGGCGTCCAGGGTTATCGAGCTATTAGCAGCTAGTCTATCTATCAGCCAGGTTGTGTCAATATATGATTATACCTACTGTAATATCAAGAGTAGATAATAGGAGACTATTATCTCCTTATCTCCTATTATCTACTCTTGATAATATCTATCATCTAGTCGTGATTGAAGAAGTTGATGGTATCTGCCATGTGCTGATATCGGGTTGATAGTATTCCGGCACCTGCTGACGGAAGCTGTCTGGAAACTTGCACTTTTTAGCAACACGTGTTTTTTGGGGCAGCACGTTTATCACATGTTGCACACATGCGCGTTGCATCTGGCTTGAACTTTTATGTTGGCTCTCTTTAGCACTTTTGAGTGAATGGCATGTGAGTGGTAAGGGGTGTTCACTCATGGAACCTATAGCCAGAACAGTTACAAATCCATGACAGTGGGCCTACTATTCTAATGCTATCAAGAGCGTATATTAAGAAGGGAATACCAAGAGCGTATTAAGAATTCTTAATACGCTCTTGGTGTTATCAAGAGATCTCTATTATGTACTCTTGGTGTTATATATATCAGGAGTAGATGATAGGGGATCTCTCTATTATTCTACTCCTGATTATACACTCAAGAGCCGTAATAAATACTAGGTATTAGAGTAATTAGGTATTAGTTAGTCTGGTATATATATATTATTATGATATATAAACTATATAGTAGTATATATATATGTGGTGTTTTTGGGTGCCGACTTGCGTGCGTGCGTGTGGCGCGCGCTGCGGTTGTGCTGTGCGTGCGTGCGTGCGTGTGGGTGTATGAGTTTTCGTACGTGCGTGCGTGTGAAAAACAGGCATTATATTTATACAGTCAACCTCAATTTTAACCTAAATTCGCTGTCGTACATTGATCGTTATAGGCAGAACTAGGATAACATGCGGGTGGGGGTGGCACAAACATGGACTAGAAATGGTGTCGCATCCGTTGAGATAGTGTATTGATATGTTTCTAACAAGGTGCTCATTGCAGAAATGATTTCGTTGCAAATGGCAGATAAAGTTGGGACGTGCCCAGCACCAAAACGGTTCAGGGAGTGCTTAAAGGGAACTTGCCAAAGTGACAGGGACTGTCTCGGGGCAGAAAAATGCTGCAGTAATGGAGCAGCCTGTGCAAATACCTGTACCACACCAGAGTTGAAGGGTACATATGGTAGCAAATTAAACAATTAAGGAAATTAAATACATCCCGAAGGATAGTTATTTGGGGGCAGCCCTATAGACCGAAGGTCCGATAGACCGAATATTGCAAAGGGTTAGGGTTAGAGTCAGGGTTAGGGTTAGGGTTAGGGTTAGGGCATATATATGGTTTATAGTGGCATGGTGGCATCATATGATTTATAGTGGCATCATATGATTTATAGTGGCATCGGTGGATGTGCGGCATATTCACGTTCGAATACAGCAGCAGTGGATGTCCGGATGCGTAGCCTGGAGGCTAGGCGACCTATTCCGGACGTGTAGCCACTACGTATTCGAATAAACTTTCGGTCTATCGGGCCTTCGGTCTATCGGACCTTCGGTCTATAGGACTGTAACCAGTTATTTCCAAAACACAATGGAGTTGCAACCAAGGACCTTCCTCATATTGTGTCAAATATGTAATCAGAATGCCTTTTTATGTATATACAAAACAGTGGATTACTGGTGCTCAATGGGTCGTTGTCGTAACATGTACTACAGATATGTACCCGAGGTACATATATGTATACACAA